ATATATAAAATTCTAAATAATCATATATACAATATCTAAAAATATTTTATAATAAAATTATACGATCTTTAAATTAATACATTACTTTCACGAATCTTAAATATATTCTTCGACGAGCGTTAAACAATAAACAATTGACTGAAGAAGATATTACAGAACAAATTCCTAATAATTTCGTAATCATCTATTCTGTAAGACGAAAATCGATAATGGTCGTTGCACTCGTTTTTAAGCATTTAATCTCTGATTGCCTTCCGTAAATTCCACAATAATCAATGATTCTTTAGAATAAAATCTTATAATAGCTTAACGATTTCATTTTTAAGTGGAAACCTACTCACGACTGATTGATTCACAAGAATACGATCTTGTAAAAATGCAATTAAATATATTCTAATTTTTGAATATTTCACAAATTTCCTTATTCTGAATTTTTTACATTTTGTATCTTATTTTTTGGCATACATTTATTATAGAAATATTAATTTTTCTACAGAGATATATATAAGCAATTTGTGTCTTTTTTGTGTACTATATTAAGAATAATTATTAAATGTGAATCTAAAGTAAAAATATATATGACAAATGCAGTGAGACATATTTAATATATTTCTTTTCTCTCTGTAAAACACACACACACATTCGATAAAAAAATCCTAAGATTCCCTGTTGATTAATGATTTCTCCGAATCATACGTGATTTCTCCGAATCATACGTGATAAAAATTCCAGATTAAGAAGAATAAAAAGGAGCTAAAAAGATCTCTCCTTTCCAGAGAATCATTTAAATAAAAAGACGTATTTACGATGGAACTCCGTCTCTGTAAATAATCAAGGAAGTCTTCCAAAAACAGCAGTCTCAGAGACTATGCCGTTACCGATTTAGGCGTAATAAAATCACGGAACAAAGGATGGTTATCAATGACGAGAGAGAAACTTTTATCAACGACGCGCAAGATCTTGTTGCTTCTATACATTCTATACATATACGCCCGTATTACATGCATATATATGCGTTACAATGACCTTTAAGAGGCGAATACCGCGAGCAGCGGGGACGATGACCTGCAACAATTTCAACAACGTAAACAGTATCGCGTATATATGCGAATGAATATCGTTGTATCGTACATGAACAAGTAGCCTCCGTCATCGGTTGACTTGTTCGGGAACTAATACTTCCTGATGAATCTTCTCCGTCGGTAGAAGAGACGCATACGCAATTATTTTTCAATTTTATTTTTAGAATAGAGATTTTATTTTCCAGGTATTCAGTCAATTACAAATCCATCGGAATTCTTTATTAGGAAGCTGTTATACAAACTCCGTCTAAAATTCAGATTGTTAAAATCCAAAATCGCGGAAAATCTATTATTGAATTTAATTTTAGTTTTTAATTAAGTTAATAATTTGCATTATTAATCGTTACATTTAATTTGTATTCTTCATTTAAAAAGATATAAATTATAGATCGGAATGTTTCCCTACGTGAAATAATCATTTTTTAAATATTTTTTGTATTCTCGTGTAATTTTTCATCTTATATTCTTTTTAAAATATTGTCTTTTAGATATCTAATATTTTGTATGTTTCATAACGCATTGTCGCTTTTCTGACTCACCTATATATTTTTACCTTTTCTTGGATTTTCCAGATAATTTCTTTCTCCGATGCAGTCCGTTTTGAAAGCCTGCTAGTCGACCTGAAAAGTTTTGTTTGCTTTCCGCGCGGGTGGGACGAGGGTAAGCCGGAAGAAGAAGAATGAATGACCAAAAGTATCCAGCATCGAATCCCCCGCAGCCGAGGGTGGAAATGCAGCCGGTCGTAACAGCACCGTTGCAACCAAATGCGCCAGTATTATCACCAGGTAAGAGCCAGAGATTATTCTTGATGTCCAAGGATTTTCTTCTGGCGCTTCAAGATCCGAGTTAAGTTTAAACACGTGCAAGAAAATGAATTTACGGATGCACGTTATTATTTTACGATTTCTCTTGTGTTGAAGATTTATGTATGTTGAGGATTTAATTAAATTGTGAGATGATTTTATTAAATCGTTCGAAAACCATATTTAATTGATTTCGACCAGATTAGATTCTGCATTATATGTATAACTCCGAATAAAATGTAAGAGAATGAAAATCTTCCTCACTTAACACGTTAATATTTAGGTTCAACCACACGACGGTGGCACTTAATTTAGCCTGATTATCGCGTTTCTCTGCTCTTTTCTCGTCCCCTGCTCGAATCTAGATAAGGAAGAAAATTTAGTTGACCTGGCAATTCTTCGTCGTCGCTTAACAGGATTAACATTTCCTGGCGCCATTTAAAAATAGTCTTTTGAATTCTTAAAACATTAAGGAGCAAGAATGCTAGTTATTTGTTGCGGTTATCATCGATCTAAACTTGATTAAATGATCGTCGTCGTATATATATTTCATGTTTTTATATGTATTTGAAATATTTATATCTCTGCAAAATATTGTATTATCCGTATAGTATTATTTTCAATTAAAGATTACATAATACTATTAATTGCTATAAACGTGCTATCTCGGAACGCATCTGTCTCATGATTGCGCTTAATTACGGTAATTCTGATAAGAGGACATTCGTAATCCTCCATCGGCAATCTCTTAATCCAGATATTGTTCTATAATTGTGGTTTGGCACGTGAAATTCGAGCATCGTCTCGATCATGCGAACCGGAGCAAAAGTACGATCTACGGACGGTGTACGTAATATAATAGTTGGCCACCGTTTGCCGAGAGTGATGATTAGTATAAAGTAGATAATGGTCGTCTGCGTTGTGTATCATCATCCAGACTGTCGTATTCGTCGTTATCGTTCGTAACTGAAACAACAGAGCTGAATTTTCCGGCCTTCGGGTATATTGCGTTCCCCTCGCCGCGCGTGTTGTTGTGCTTACGGCGATATAAGAAAGATAATTCTATCGTGTGTTTGAACTGTGAAATATTCTGATAAGCAGTGACACGTCGTATAATGCGATCGTTCGACGCCATTAGTATTTTGTTCGTCTCTTACCTGTCTGGTTGAGAGAGATCGAGAGAAGAGGGAAAGAAAGAAAGTGAAAGAGAAAAGCCGAAATTACGCGAAATCGATTATGTTATATGAATTGTTCGAATTCTCCAGTTAACGAAAAATCTTTGAGAATTAAATCTTAGATTTTTTTCTGTGAATTTCAATAATCAAAGATATATCGATCCCGTCTTATAGATCTCCGCGATGTAACTTTAGTGACGCGTTGTTTGCCGTGTGTTTATCTTCTAAATGATAAATGAAAAATAGAAAGAAACGAGGGTACCGTGGAAAAGTTTTATCTCCTGCGCGCTTTGACGAGGGTGAAGAAAACTGTAAAATAAATTCTGATAAGTCGCAAACGCTGCTGGGAGACGTCTCGGATCGGAGTAACAATTATTTTCGCGAGATTATAATAATCGCGATCGGGAATGATGGATGACAGTGGCAAGAAATTTCGAAAAATGACGTTAATCTCGAGTTTTGAATTTAGAGTACAAAAACATTAAAACAGTGGCCAGAATTGAACTAAAAGAAAACTGATTTAATCTGAAATCTAGTTTATAGAGAAAAATAATAGTGGCGAGAATCTTGAACGAAAGTCTCTGTAGTTACTGACGTTATATTGGACCAGTGATTTTGGGATAAATGTTATTCTGGATAATTACTTGTGCTCGATCTTTAATTACATAGCGTCCGTGGATTGTATGGTAATAGTGATAATTAGACGCGATAATAAAATTTCGATACTAATAGTGATAGATAAATATTTCAATTTCGATTTCGATAAGCGAATATGCGGCGTCTTATACGATGGAATCCGAATACTTCGATTCTTCGTGGAAAATCAAAGTAGAATGGATTCGTAGACGGCTGAGAACTGCCTTCCAAAGTATGATGGCACGATATTACAAGTCCAAGAGGAAGGGCTACACCAGATTTCTTACGGAAGAGGAACAAAGGTGCATCTTTTTCGTGTATACACGCATTTCGCGATTTGTTATGCATCTATCGCAGACCGTTCTGTATATATATATATGCTATACATTGCTTTAATCAATGACGATTAATATCATTATTCGAATAAAACTCATAAATCTATCAAAAATGTTATTAGATTTTTTATTATTTTTATCATTTCATTTACCTAATTCGATAAAAAGTAAATACAAGTTACATACGGATAATATATTTTACGAATTGATTTTATAAATTTATTTATTACACTTACACATTTATGACCACTTTTTGATAGGATTATGATTATATGACTATTTATACATTTGTCGAATCTTAAAAGATTTATATCAAGTATTGTTATTTACGAATAATGGATAGTAGGTCAACATCATCGCTTATCGAGCGTCATTTTTTCAGGTGGCTGGCTGCCGCCGAGTACGATATATCCACCCGGCTTGCAATACCTTATGGAGCTTGATTACCTTTTCATGAACCAGAAAATTGAGTTGCTTCAAGGTGAGCACTCGGCTTTATTAAGAGATAAAAATAAAATAATTCTTCTTTGCGAGCGTGCGTACATGTATTCGAGATCCGCGAAACTCGTCGAGAATAACATTCACGATTAATTCTTCGAGTAAACGGAACCGCACATGTATTTATTTTTCGCGATAGCAATAGATTTTTTATATTTGTATGTATAATTAACATAAATAATTATTATGTACAATTGAATTATTATATTTTTATTCTGAGAAAAATATTTACGGAAGATCATATTATATAATACACAATCGCGATTTAGATAATATCTTATTTTTTAATCATATTTATCGCCAGTGAAAAAAATGTATTACCAATTACGTATTATGTATTACATGTTTATATTTTATAATATTATATTATATACATTTTTCGCGTTATATTTCTTCGGATTGCAGCTTTTACCGGATGGGAGACTAAAAATAGGTACACTGTTACGGACATCCGCGGCGAACCAATGTTTTATGTGGCCGAAGAATCGCACATTTGTTGGCGATTGTGCTTCGGCAAGTACCGCTCCTGCGAATTCAGCATCTTCGATCGAGATCGGCGGGAGGTCCTGCATATGATTCGTCCCTTTAGATGCGACAGTTGCTGCTATCCCTGCTATTTACAGGTATCTTACTCGAACAAAACTTGTCTTTCTACGAAAAATTATCATCTGGTTTGCTATCATTTATGATTTATGACAATCAATTTGAAATCTTGGATTATTAGAATACAATTACAATTATTATAATTAATTTTTGCGAAAGCAGTAACATTTATCAAAGAAAGACAAAAATTATTTGGTTATTATTTATAAATTTATGTATAAAATTATTGATAGCTCTTGAAATTTATTTTTAGATATTCTTTAATCCTAAAGTGTAAATAAAAAAAGTAATGGAAATAATAATTTGAAATCAATTTTTCTTTTTAAAAAAGATTGGTTGTTATTATTCATAACAGCAAATTTTTAGATTAAACATTTCAAAGATTTTAAGAAAACTTTGAATATAAAAATCGTGGTTGATCTCTTAAGCTTATCTATAAAATTCTCAGATATAAATAGAAGAAAGATAATATTAGAGATAACAATAATAATAAATCTAAAAGCAAGATTTAGAAGCGAAATGAGAACTACTGTTGTCTGTGTATGCCAAAGTTTCTTCACACGTGCAAGCCATCTGCCAGCGTTACCTTTGACAAAAGTTCGCCCGCACCGCCAAAGAAACCGATCAATACGTTTTAAAGAGAAAACGACAATGTCGATTTTCCTGTCCAATCTTTATATTCATTCTTCAAATAAAGAAAATTTCAGATTATCGATAAATTTAATTTAAAAATTTAATTACTAGAATATTTAATTTAAAAAATGAATAAATGGTTTATTTCTTGTTATAAGTAGTGTTTGATTAAATGACTGAAATTATCTTGCAGGTGTATTCGGGAAATAATAATAAATAATTGTGCAGGTTTTAGAGGTTTATTCAGGAAACACTCTGCTAGGCAGCATTACTCAAGAATGGAGTCTCTGGCGACCGATATTTTATATTCGCAATGCATCCGGCCAACCGGTGTTAATGATAAAGGGACCAATTATCCGTTTCTGCGTTCAAGTAGATTTTAAGGTATTACAACATTTCAAATTCTATTAAGTTTGTGTTCTTTAATTATTTGTAAACTCACGAAAATTTCAATTAATCGTTAACTCTATTTTTTCTTTATGAAATTTCTGTCTTTAATCCTATAATTTCTATTAATAAAAATATTAAATAAATGTCAGTAGAAATAATGGATAACTTATCACTTAAAATAATAATAATACTTAATTAAATTAATTTAAAAGATAATTTTAGTTTCTTTGATTTTCCCTATAATTATAATATATAATTACAATTAATATAAATAATTAAGTAAATCAATATTGATAGAGGAACGTAATATTAAATATATGATGAATGATTTATGTAAAATCTAAAAATGAATGAATAATAACAATAAATTAATGTTAATGAAAATCATTAATTTCTATAATATAGATTATATAAAAAGTTAACAATTTTATTCTATATTGAAAACTTGATCTTGAAATATAGCGTGGTAACAACAGACGATTCTCAATGAATGATAAGGAATAACACACACAATATTTGCGGATATAAATTTAGCGAGTATTTGATTATAATGAAATCTGCGACTAAAGTTGTACAAAAAGAATTAAGATTCTTCGAATCTGATTAAATCTGCAGGTCAAATCCATAGATGGAAAGCATCGCGTCGGCAAGATCCAGAAGCAATGGAGCGGTTTTGCTCGAGAGTTTTTTACCGCTTCCGATATGTTTGGCATTAATTTCCCGCGCGATCTCGACGTAAATATAAAGGCCGTGCTACTAGGAGCATGTTTTCTTATAGTGAGTATTACTTAGAATACCACAAACGATCGATTGTTTGAAAGAAAAATACAAAGAGAGAAAAATGAATTAAATATATCACGTAAAGAAAAAATATTAAAATTATAAAAGATAGTAATATATAAATACGATATATAATTATGTTATATATAATTTTAATATCTAACATGTTCATTATAATATTCTTCGATGTTTCAGGACTTCATGTACTTCGAAAATCAGGAAGTCAATTTGTTTTAATATTTAAGAGAAAAATGAAACGCAAGCTGTGTGTGCTTATATAAGCTTATATTTATACTGTAAAAGATATTTTACGCGCAATGAAAATGAAAACAAGGATAAATACGCGCACTCGCGACAAAATCCTACCAATCGTGAGCTGTGAGATAAGCTGCATACATATATATCGCTATTCTATTTTTTAAGCAATTTACAAATAGTAAGGTATGTTATTTTTGTTATTTTTTATATATATAACGGGAATGTATAAATATATTAAACGCCGATTTACACTCGTGAAAATGTGATCAAACTTATGTTCGTTGCCTAAAGCATAAAGTTTGATCTCGAGAAGCTCTCTATTTTTTGTAAACTCTATTTTTGATAATAATCTATGTCTCCATTTCAATGATTACTTATTAATTCACAATATATCTACCGTTCTTTGCTCTAAGTTGTCTTCCGAACAACGATAACAATGAATAGTATAAACTACTATATTATAATTAATTTAATAAATAATCATTTTTTTCATTGTAAAACAGAGTATAAATTGCTATAGACGTCGATAATAATATACATGGATGTAATCTCATTGATTTTATAAAACTATTCTGTTACTCAATAAACTGTATATTAATATAATCACGAATTTGTAAGAAAAAACATGTTTGTGTTTGATTCAAATAAAATTTATATTGATTATAGGCTTTTTTATGCCCATGTTTGCTTACATTACTGAAATACGATTCTCGGTACACAAGTGCATCTATATTAATTGTGTTAATAATAGATAAATAAGAATATCTGTTACATATATATTTATAAAATAATTTTTTAAAGATTTTCACTCTACGGAAAAAAAAATATAGAAAAAAATAAAAAAATGCTAAACTTACTGTTATTAGTAAAAATAAAAATATGCATTAAAAAATATATCCTAAAAACGTGCGTTAATTCTGATTCGCATCTTCTTCTTTCCAATTATGTGATATAAGTTATATTTTTTATTTCGTATTTTTATTCCTAAAATATGATTTTTGGCACAAATTTTATTTTATATTATGTTTTTTATATTAATAATATATTCTTAAAATAAATATTTGTTTAATAATAAATTTATTATTATTTATCATAAAATAGAAAGCCAGACGATTTTAGAAGACTTAGTTTTTGTTAATAATTAAAAATGTTATAAAATAAATATTAAAAGATAAAGATCAATAATCTCTTAGCAAAGCAGATATATATTAAAAAAAAAGAGTATAACAATTTATATATTATTATAAATAAATCGTCACCTAGATAATGAATTAAAAATATGTAGTGAAGCGCTATAATCTTTCTCTCTCAATTCAAGATTATAACGGATGTCTTCAGGATTCGTATAAAATAATATAAGTCAGAAATAAGATCGAGAGAAAATAAAATACGCAACATTATACATAATGTGTATGTCTTTTTATTTTCGTGTCTCATTATTTGCATTCTCATCGTACATCTTGTCGAATCAGTTGATAGTACACTGTGTCTATAATATGTCGCAGCGCTTACTCGCGTGTGTTTTTTTAGTGCGTGTAATATCCGTCGCCCAGATGTTCTCCTTCCCAACCTCTCACGTGGTAAAAAAGAGAATGAAAAAACATGTGAATGTCGTTTAACCATTCGCAGACTAGAAAACCGCAGAGCACCGAAAAACAGTACTCTCGATCCTCAAAGTTCCATAAAGATCGCAAAACGAACCATTAAAAATTGTCGTCGAAGGAATATTTCTTAAACAGCGACGACTTCTTCCCTTTCTTTTTCCTTATTATCTTTCGTTTAATAGACAATCACGACGAATTGCGGGGACTAGCACTAGAGCACTAGAGCAGTACTAACAATAAGTGTGTGGAAACGCGCGTGACTATGTGTCATCTGTAACGAATGTAATAGCGCGATTGCGACAAAAAAAAAGAATCGAACGAGAGAATCGCGAACGGATACATTGCCTCGAGAACATTCTCGATTTTTCGAAATTACGTATTAAAAACAAAAAAAGGAACAATTGAACGAAATTAAAATACTGTCAAATACAACGCGCAGAATACGATGCAAGCTGCTCTCTGTAATCTTCTCCTTTTTATAGCACTTTTTTTCGTTTCCTCTCGCCAGTCTATGACATCCTTATTTTCAGTAGATTTATAAGAAAAGAAAAATATAATATATATATTATATAAATAATAAATAATGGAAAAATAATAGAAATTAATAAGAGTTTAACAAATAAAATAAATGTACTTTTTTTTAAATTTTTTTGTCAGTGATATATATAAACTTCATTATAATTATACATATAATATTACCTCAAACTAATTTTCCTTTACTAATTTATGCCAAAAAATGTATACCACAAAAAGGAGATAACACGCATCATAGCGCGAGCAACTTACATCATACTAGACAGCGCTAATGTTTTGCATCTACA